TAATGGAAATTTAATTCAAAAACAATGAAATCAATTAATAACTAATATAATGGTTTGATTAAACATTAATTATTTAGTTTGTTTGATTGTTTATCATTTATTTATATTTGTTTATATTAATTGTTTATTTTTATGGTTATTTATTGTTAATTTGTTCAATTAAATAGTTTTTTTTCTAATATTTCAAATAGTGAATAATCATAAGAATAAAAGAAATAACAGATAATAAAGTCGAAAGAATAATGTAATAAAGAATAAATGAAAATATTAGAAATAATTGATTGTTATTCAAATCATTATTTCATTTATTTGTATTAATTGTTTTATATTTAAATATATGAATATTACATTATTATATTTCATTCACCATTCATTCATACTCTTATTAATTATTATCGTTTATTATTTATTTATTCATTATTCTTTTGATTAATAATATTATCAATCATGTTTTATTGATTGTTATTAATTATTTATTTTTTATGTTATTTCATTTTTATTTCTTTGTCTTTCTGCTTCTATTTGTGTTTTGTTTCTTGGTTAAATAATTTAATATTTATTGTTGATTATATTTTATTTTGTTTATTATTCTTGTGTTTATTTCTTATTTTGTAATGATGTGTTTATTTAAATAAAAGAAAGAAAAGAACTCAACCAGATAAATAAGAATATAATTGAGTACCAAAACCAATGTTGTGGAATAGAACAAAGAGTAATACAAAAGTGTTTATTGTAGAACAGTGCTTTGTGTGCATTACTAGCATTAACCAGATTTATGTTTGTTAAATGTGTAAGAGTTAGGAAAGATGAAGGAATTTCTAATTTATCCTATTCATTATTTCTATTCATTCATATTATCATTTCTACTTATATTTACATTCCATTCCTCACCCACTTCAATCTCCATTAACAATATTTAAATAATTAACATCTTCTTGTTAAACAAATAAATAATGATAAAATGAAATAATAAATAATAAAGAAATATAATAAATAAATGATAATTGATAATCAAATTAAATTATAAACATAATAAAATAAATAATGAAATATAATGAATATAATAATAATGAGTTTATATTCATATTCTTAACTTCTTTTAAATTATAATCATATTCATTATATTATTATATAATTATCATTGTGATTTCATTTTATATTCTTTCTTTTATTATTATTTGTTATTCATTGTTATTGATGAAGATGATAAAAGAAATGAATGAGTATGAAGATAACACTATTAATTACATGAAAACAAAACAATAACCAATCAACATCATTTAATTAAAGAATAAAATGATAATAAGCCAAATAAATAATGAGAAAGTAATAACAAATGATAATAAACAAAGAATGAGTGAATAAAGTAGAAATAGAAAGAAGTATTAAAGAATGGATAAATAAGAATGAAACATATGATAATAAAGAAAACAAGAATTGATAAGAATATAAAACAAATATAAAACCATAAAATAATAATAAAATTGAATAGTAAAATAATAGTAAAAGAATAATAACAAGGGTTAGAAAATGGTATTTAAACAGAAAAAAAAGAAAGAAATAAACATACAAACTGTTTTACGTAATAATACAACCAATTCATTTTATAAATGGTTGGGAAACAACTATTACAAGAAGATAGATATAGTTTATGGTAGTATTCTAGAAATACTATATTTAAAGTATCTAATAGAATAAGAAATAAAGATAAATAATAATAAATAAAAAAGAAATACAATATAAAGAAATTAAAGAATGGAAAGAATAAAATAAGAAAAACATAGAATAATAAAAATAGAAAGAAAAAGAATAAAAGAAAAGATAATAAGAATAATAAAGAAATAATTTAACTCTTATTTCAAATAATCATAATTATCACTTCATTTTACTTTTTACTTAATTATGATTATTTTATTTCATTAATATGTTTTAATTAATGTTTTTTAATTTGATAATTGTATTTCATTTATTTATTTTCATCATATAATGAACAATATAATAACTGGTTTTAATTTTTATTCATTCTTTTTATTCAATTCTTTTCTATCATTTATTTATTACATTCTTCAATTTCATTATGATTCAAATGTATTATTCAGAAACAATA